ATGGTAGCTCCTCTTGCAGTTTAAGGAAAGAAGTAGGAGAGGATTTTAGTCATTCATTCTATGGAAGATTCAAGGGCTCATTAGTGCAGCCATACTAATGCTTATCACATATCAGCCATATTTTATTATATCCCATTTTCTGGGATAAATCCGGAGGTTTGTCTTTGCAACAAACAGAGTGAGTATTTCCTTACTCCTGTTTCTTTTCTCTGATGGCCCTCAATGTTGGCTGCATTTCATAAAGCATACAGAGCACATATGCTGCACGTGCCTTGCTCATCTGGGAGCTCATCTCTATTCCTCATCCTAGATAAACTCTTAGATTTAGAAAATAATGGCTCAGCCAAGGAACAATCCCAGTCCATCAACCTCTGTCCAGGCAGGATGCTTGTAAACTTCTGAGGTGCCAGGACAGAGTGTGCAGCACCCTGCACTGCAGCATCCCAGCAGCACTTGGACTTGACTGCAGTACCAGCATTAAATCCTGGATTGTCCTTATTACCACATTTTGCTCAGGGCTGCTAATCCCTCAGCAGCACAAGGCTCACCTCACAGCTTAGAGTAGCTGCTGAACATATCTTCATCTCTAACGTTTCCTGGCATGTACTTCTATTATTGTTTGTGGTTTTTTTTGGTCCAGCAACATGGTCCCAGAAGACAACAGAGGCTTTTTGTATCATACTCAGGCTGCATGTACCTGATGCTGCTCTTAGTGACAGCAGTGTCACACTGCTGATCTTGACAGCAGCTTTCTGGCTGTACAACAGTGCCAGACCCACCCCTTTGTGGTTCCACATGATTAGCTGGATGTTTCCTTTACTGAGTTTGTAGTAGTTGTGAATCTCATTACCTAGATTGATGGGAGGGATCCTGAATTCCCAGGGGTTAATCACTGTGGGCTTCAACTTCTTGCCTGTGCTTTTATGCCTCTTTTCAGCATTAAGTGATGAGGAGATTCTGGCCCAGGCTCTGATCTTTGTCTTTGCTGGTTATGAGACCACCAGCTCCACCCTCAGCTACATATCCTATAAGCTGGCCACCCACCCTGACGTGCAGCAGCAGCTCCAGGACGAGATTGATGCAAACCTGCCCAACAAGGTAAGGGAAGGTGGGGAGATGCTGGGGTTGTTCCCACTTGTGTCTTGTGGACCCTGAGCCAAAACCCAGCTTAGAAACGAAACTGAGCGGAGGAGGAGATTTCCCTTCCTCTGGTCTCTAATTCCTAATGGAGGGGGGGCTTAGGGTGGGGATTGAAGTCCCATGTTTGTAGCCATCCTGTCCCCCTCCCCAGGCAGCCCCCACGTACAGCGCCATCACGCAGATGGAGTATCTGGATATGGTGGTGAATGAAACCCTCCGGCTCTTCCCTGCTGGGGGGCGGATCGAGAGGGTCTGCAAGAAGACAGTGGAGATCAATGGTGTGACCATTCCAAAGGGCATGGTGGTCATGATCCCAGCCCACGTGCTGCACTGTGACCCGGAGTACTGGCCGGAGCCAGAGGAGTTCAGGCCTGAGAGGTGAGGGTGAGGTGGGGGCAATAGCTTCATGCTCAACTTCAACCCTGGGAGTGGAAATGGCAGCAAAAGTGGGGAAGGCATGATTATAACATTTAAATTAGGCATTTATCATTGTCTGACATCTAGTCCCAGCATTACCGTGAGGGGAGTTTTATGATCTACATCCATAAACTGTGCATGGAATTTAATTAACTGCATTGAAGGGAGCGACAGTGAGAGCAGCTCCCAGCAGCTGTAACTCTGAGGGGTTTATGGCCAGATATTAAAAGAAGAGCCATTGGGTGACTGGCACGATGCCGGGCAGATCGGTGGTGGAAGGGCAAAGACGAGGAGGAAATAAAACTTAATTTTTCAACTCAAGCTATGAAACAATCCTTTCTTAGGACTCCCTGTCAGACCCTGAGAAATGAGGCAATAGCCCAAGGCAGGCCTGGGAGACTTGGGCCTTCTAGTCTCCAGGTGGTCATGAAGATGTTGAGGGCTGGCCCAGAGAGAGAGCAGAAGCAGATTTGTGCTCTTGCACCAGGAGTTGAAATTCCCCTGGGAGCTAACTCTGGTGTGGAGATGAGGTGACCTTTGGGACAAAATGTGACAGCAGTGTCAGGTAGAAGTTAGGGAGGAAGTTGGGTGCTGCTGGAATCACCTATGGACCCCTGTGGTCACCTTGTGTTGAATGCAGAAGGAACCATCTGAACGTCCTTTGGCAATGTTCATGTTACAGCAGTTACTCCAGTAGCTCCATCCTTACTCCAGCTGACAAAGCAGGCATGTGTAAGGAGCTCTGTAGGATTCCTTGCTTTGCTGAGAGTCCATCAGAGGAATGTGTTGGTGTCTCGCTAGCAAGATACTTCACTGCTGAATTGTTATGGCACCACGAGCGAAAAGCTTTCTGACATGGAAACTAACAGATCACTAAGGACTATCACTGGCAAATTTCTCTGTGAAGCTGATTGTTCTTCCCTGTTTTTCATTATGAGGAGAGGAATGACTGGTGTGTCTCAAAAGCAGCCACGTCTTTAGTCAGGCAGGGTGAGAACGTCTTTGTGTTCACTCAGTGCTTTGATCTTGAAAGGGAAGATGTGAAGCTGTAGACCTGTTTGTTTTAGGGTTTGAAATCTGGGAGCCATTTTTGAGCTGAGAGAGAGTTCTGAGAAAAGATCAGTGCTGCCCAGGGAGGTGGTTGAGTCACCGTCCCTGGGTGTTTAAAAGTCATCTAGATGTGGCACTTGGGAATATGGCTTAGTACTGGACTTGCTAGAGTAAGGTTAATGGTTGGACACGATGATCTTAAAGGCCTAAGTGATTATATGACATCCATTAGCATATTTCAACTATTCCCTGTTAATCTGATGTACCTGAAGATGCATAACCAACTCGGAGCACCAGGATAGAAGCAGAAGTTGAGTCTAAAATAGGGGTCTTAGATGGGTTATTCTAATACACAGAGAAACAAAAACCTTTTGCTTTCCCAGACCCCCTCATCACGTCAGATCTGAAAGCTGGAACAGCATCTCTTTCTAACTATTTTGTTGTTGTTGGTTTTGTAATCAGGTTCAATAAAGAGAGCAAAGAGGCTTTTGACCCCTATACCTTCCTGCCATTTGGGGCTGGCCCCAGGAACTGCATAGGAATGAGGTTTGCCCTCCTCATCGTGAAAGTGGCCGTGGTTGTCCTGCTGCAAAACTTCTCATTCAGAACGTGCAAAGACACACCAGTGAGTATACAGGGTGATGAGTTTCATTGTCTGCCCTTCAATATCCCCTGAGATGGACCCTGCACACTCTTTTTTGCCCACATCTCAGGACAAACAGAGAACTCTCTCATGCATATGAAATCTCTCTCTTCCCTGAGGAGTTCAGAGACCGTTTAGCTTCAGAACTGCTGAAGCTTGTCTGCAGACTTGGGTTTTACTACTTAACACAGAGATCAGGGAGGAAGAATTCACTGTGGATTAGAGAGGCATATGGGAATAACTGTATTTAAATCTTCTCAGTTAACTTCAGTGGTTCACCACAAGTTACTGATACATTATTTTAAGCCTTTACAGAAGAAAACGTAATGTTGAATATGTCAGGCTGAAAGCCCACCACTAGGTTTGAGTTGTGCCTGGGACTCCCATGAACAGCAAGAGCTGTTTGACATGAAGTAAATGGGATGGCTGTTGGAAATGCTATGTCAAGCAGTCCCTTCTGAAAACAGGGCAGCTCCCCAGGACTCAGAGGCAGGGAGCACTATATTTGGTGTTAGCTCCCAACCCCGACCCAGCTCTCTGCATTGGCTGCCACAAAAGGCATTGCCATTAATGCATTTCATTCACAGGGGGAGCTTGGGAAATCAGAGCAGAGGGGCCAGCAAGTGTATTCAAAGAGCATTTGTTGTAAGAAACAGAAAAATCCTTTTTGTTTCTTGGCACGGGTGCTCAGCTGGAATCTCTGCAGATTCAGATTGCAACTCAACTAGTAACCTGGAGGTGAAAGACTGTAATAGTCCATTAACAATGCAGTGACCTATCCACCCTCCCCCAAGTCTAATGACATTTTTCTAGTCCTCTGCAATCCATAAAATTGATTCTTTTTATAACTGCCTTTAATTAAAAGGAGACAAGTTAAATATGTATTGTATTATGGGTGCCCATAGGTTTATGGGGCTCTTTCAGCCCTTTTTTTCTACAGAAGATGTCATGTACATCAGATCAGAGCAGGAGGGAAAAAATTGTGCTGAAACATCCCTTTGGAATATGTATATGGAAGCTGCAGGCCCCCTCTCACTCCTTCACTGATGGCACATTGGGCTCTGAGCCACATTGCTTAGATTTCCTGAAACAAATCTTACTGGGATATGGGGATTTTAATGTAGTTTGTCATACTGGGGCTGTACTACCCTTGTCCTGATGGGAAGAAGAAGATCTGGGACATGAGCAGCATTGAATTGATGGAGGAGACTTGGTAAAACATCCTTTCCTCCCCTGCAAGACAGCTCCCTGCAACATCAGTTTTAAATGTTCTTTTTGTTGAGGTTTTCAGCCCACCCCAAGGGAGCCTGTCGCTCTTCTGTGTGAGGAAGCTTTTCCTTTGGTACTCAGTCTGAGCAGAAATCTTAGTTTTGTCTTTCCTGGAGAGCTCGTTGCTCCTCCAGGTCCCATTATGATCTAGCTCCCCTTAGCCCTGACACACTTCAGCTTTAAACAAAACAGCACTGGGTGCCCCTCCTTAGCTGCAGCTCCCCAGATGGATTTGGGCTGTTTTTACTTCCACATGTAGCCTGTTGATCAGTGCAGCTCTTCCTACCATGCCATCTGAAAGCCAGAATTCAATAACCAATTTATTCAGGAGCTGAGGGCTATTAAATCCCAGCTCATAGCTGTTTTGCATGAGCAATAATGATAATCCTGCTTTAAATATGTCTGTAAGTTAGAAAAGGCATTGAAAACAAAGGGTGGCTGAGACGTATCTGGGCTGCAGGGGTCCTGTTGGGCTTTTTCCCAGCTTACATGGCTATTTTGGTTTTTTCTTCCTGCTCAAGATCCCACTGGTTCTGGACTCAAGAGGTTTCATGCAACCGAAGTATCCCATCATCCTGAAGATGGTTCCCAGAGCCCATGGTGATCTGGAGAAGTGAAGGAAGCAGGAAAATATCAAAGAGTCTTGTTTGATAGTGCCTTCTCTAACTCTTGAGAGGAACCCAGATTGATCTGTGTGCTGTAAAGATGTCAGTGGTGCAAACCCCCCTTTCACGACAGGGCATTAAGGGGTTTGGCCCAGCATAATTACATTATCATTATCCTAATTAAAAGTAGCCCCAGGTTTTGCTGTCCCTGATCACAGTAGGCATTTTGCAAGACCATTTGCACTCAAGTTATTTGGACTTGTTTTTTTTTCTCTCTCTCTGAAGAAGCACTTTTCTAGGCAATTTGCTTCCAGACACTGTCAGTCTCTTCTGGCAGTGTAATTTAAATCAAGATAGGGAGAGCAAATTGCAAAGACTTAAGTAATGCTACCATTGCTCCTGTTCCTTCTGCCTGCTGGGTGATTTTGTGTGTCTTCTGGTTTGATTCTCCTGGGAATGCAGAGTTGTCCAGGGCTATTTCCTCAGCTGTGTGCTATGACCCTGACAAGTGCTAAAATGTTCACATCCTTGCAGGAGTGAACACTTGGGGCAAATTTTCTGATGCTGATTTATTGAGATTTTCTTGTGATTTTGGATGGCTTTTGCATAAGTCAGAGTGCAGATCAGTTAACTGGAGGAGCCCAGAGACAAGCAGTTACCCCAAATGACTGGAGATCTGCAGAGTGGCAAAGAAGTGCCCACATGTCTGTTTCCTCATTGTTTGTTTTACCACAGGCGTGCAGCCATCTCCCATAGAAGGGATTGTCAAGCACATCTGTGCTGCTGTCATGGCACCTTTTAGTCTCTTGATTTACATTAGGCCATTGTAAGACCAGTTGAACTGGATTAATAATGGTGCAGGGTGCAGCACCAAGTGCCCTCAGATGTCCTGGAGAACCCAAGACTAAAAGAAAGGTGTTGCCTTTGACAGGCTATAGCTGGAAGGTCATGCTAGACTTGGTCATTTTTTTGGATTCTAGAAGATCTGGATGCTCATATTTAATGTTATTCCTCCAGAAGGTGCTTCTGCAGGGCTAACTGCAATAAAAAGCTCATTTACCTCTTCTGTACCCAACTGGTGTCTGTCTCTGATTCTGTTCTTTCCTCTACACATGAGTGAATTCATCTTTACATCTCATAAAAGGTGTTGGCCAGACAATGATGTGATCTCAACACCTCTCCCAGGTGGTCTTCCTCACTTCTTTGGTGGGATTGTCAAAGGAAGTCCCTCTGCCTCAAAACATATGTGCCCCAGAGTGGAGATAGAAGTCCTCTTTTGCAGGTCATTCTTCCACTGTCACCTTGTAGCATCACGGATTACCAAGGGTTTGGTTTTGCTAATCTCAGCCAGTGTTTGTGTTTCTGTGGAAGCAGAGGGGTTTGATTCCAGCATCTGCTACATGCAGCGGACCTTCTGCAGGATTCAAAGTGCTCTCTGTGCTCTCTCCGGAGTACCTCATGCACCTGCTTCCCTAAGAGGATGCTTCTGCTTCCAAGCTGTCAAGTTTGTCAAGTACTTGGTTGTGCAGATACACTTAACTCCGTCCCTACCACGTGTAATGCTGCTTACGTTCCTGGGAAATGAAAACTCATAATCTCCTGGATGAATCCAAGGCATTACCCCATGTGTAAGTACTGCTGCTGGAGATGGGGCATTTATAGTTTTCCCAGTCCAAAATAAATGGGTGAGCAAAGCCATCGATGGTGTGAGGTGTTTTCCATTGCAAAATCGAACTGAGGAACTTTAGTCACTAGACAGCAGGTTTTAGATACATATAATATATTCTTTTTCTATTGTCTTTCTATATTTTTGAGGAATTGAGTGGAGAACCTCAAAAGAGACATAATAACCTTTCTGCAGGAGATTAAATTCCCCAGTGGAAGACACTCTTGCCTGGAAGTGTAAGGGGAAGAGTGAGGCTGCTTCTCTAGAGAGTGACGGAGGAGCTGGGTGAGAGGGAGAGAAAATTCCCAGCAGCTTGGGCAGCCACTGCTTCCCCTTCTGCTTTTGTAACCTGCAGCAGTGCAGCTCCCTTCTGCCACCAATATACGAAAGTGGCAGTTTGTTTTCAGTTGTTAATGCCCCCTCTTTTAAAGCCATGCCACTGTGCTTGACTGTGGTGCCACATCTCGAGGGAGAACAACAAAATATAGAAGCAATCAGACCTCTGGAGAACAGCTGAGAAGTGACTGCCTCATCACAGTGGTTCAGAAAAAGGGACATGGCAAATCATCAGGTCTCTGCCTTGAGAGGTGACTGAGAAGATGAGGGTGATGGAGTCACAGACAGTGTCACGGGTCAGGGATGGATTAATAACCTTGCTGAAGGCCAAATCTTGCCCGGTGGCAGCAAGGGAAGGGGTTTCGCCTCCTCGCTCCCACTCCTGCATCTGAATTAATCACACACACAAATGTCAACACTGCTGAAAACATCCTTCAGGATAATCTCTCTCACAAAGCCGCTTAACATTTTGGTAATGCACAGTTCACTTGCGGGTGTCAAAGGATTTCAGCCTCCCTCATCTCTCTTCAAAGGCATCTCCATCTCCTGGCACCCCGTGCCGATGAAGCGGGCAAGTCGGCTGCTGCACCTGGCAACGCCGACCTACCTGCAGGGGGTCTGATTTCCAGAGGTAATGAGCACACCCCACTGCCCTGTAGCCAGAGTAGCTGCACTCTTCAACAGCCATGTGCCTCAGTTTACCAGCATGTAATTTTTTAAAAAAAAGTATTTAGTGAGGCAATAGTGAACTTCAGTGTGTGTCCACCCTGTGCTGGGCTTTGTTTCAGATCATAGCAAGACCATGGAGTAACCAAACGGGTTTCCTTTTGGATGACCCTAAACCAGAAGTGCTTTGTGAGCTCATCTAACATGCTCCAGCTGCTGAGAGCTTGAAGCAACTCCTCTGCTCCCCCTAAAAAAACATAGGATGAATGTAGGGCCCTCAGCATCAACTCCTTTGCTCTTTGTATCCCCCCCAGCCAGCACAGCGCTGCTTCCCCATGCAAACACAGCTTCAGCTTAGCAACAGCCCCTTCCAGAAGGACAGTCCACCATCCACTTGCATCTTTCAAATTTGGCCCTGTCAAGTCATGCTTTAATTATTTAGGCTTGTTTCAAGCAAGAGTACCCACTTGCACTTAGCATGGTGCTCACTCATTGAAGTGGTATCACTGCTGGGTTTAACATATTGGAGTGCCTGGCTAGCTCTTGGTCCTCTCCCATCACTGTGGGAGCAGGAGGTCCTGAGCAGAGTGGTTGTGCCTCTCACAATTTGCATACTTGAAGCTTTCCTGACCCTGAGCCAGACTTGCATAGAGGTTGTCCATATTATTGCTGCTGCTGGTGCTGAACTGGACCTGCTGCTGGAGAAACAGGCCTCCAGACACCTTTACTGAATGCTCGATTTGGTTAAAATCAATGGAATAATCAGCCCACAGAGTCTGCCCAAAGGTCAGAAAGCAGTGATTTTTTATTTTTTTTTTCCCTGCAGCAGCTTTTGTCCTGAGCTCTTCTTTTAGTGTGAGGATTGCAAGAAAAAGCACTTCAGGTAGGTTATAAAAGTGTTATGACTGCTGGTATTAAGCTGACAGGCTAATTTAACAAGTGCATAACAAGGTCTCCTAAAATAGAGAGGTAAGTTTTTTGCAGGGCTCATGTCTTGGAGAACTCCTAAATGAGCTGGTGATGGACACAGCCCAGGCTGGGCTGACATCCTGCAAGGCAAAACACAGAAGAGCCTTGAAGAAGAACCCACCAGTGTGGAAGAGGTGGAGGGTGCCAGGAGAAGAGGGTGCCAGACCCTGGGACAGGACCAGGTGGGGAGGACCCCTTTACCTCACCCCACTCCATCCCACGGCCCCAGATTTAATCCCCCCAAGCCTCTCCCCATCTGTCCCTCACGCACAGACACCTCTGTGGCCCCTCAGTCCCACTTGTGGCAGTAGCAGCCATCAGCAGAGCCAAGGGACACAGCAATAGCAGGACCCAACTTTACCAGCTTCCACAGCTGGGTGCCTCAGTTTACCTGATGCTTGGACTCCATGATCTTTAAAGCCTTTTCCAACCGAGGTAATTCTGTGATTCTGTGCTACCCTCTAATCACTCCAGCACACATTTGCCAGCACCTGGACACACAACGCACCAGGGGCTGAATTTGCAGGAACACTTTGATCTTTCCTTTTTAAGCCCAGTGATTCCACCTCCCTCTGAGCTCAGGTAAAACGGCTGCGCTGCTGCTTCGCTGGCTTCAAGGTTTCAAGTCAAACAGCAGTCGTTTAACCACTCTTTTAAAGTTCATATCATTTGAATGTCATATGTCAAACTGATGCTACTTCCAGCAAAGGCAAAGAGCTGTTTATTCCCCTCACAGCTGGCCAGCAGTCTGACATTCATTATTGAAGCCTTGCAGCTGCCAGGGATTGCAGCTACCTGTGGGAGTGCGTCTATCAAAGCCTTCCACCTCTTTCAGGGTTATTCCCTCTAATATCAACTCATACATTTTAGTTCAGGCTCATTTTACAGCTGCCATAGGTCTGCAGTTGTGTGTGGTTTTTTTTTTCCTATGTCTGGGCAAGGTCAGGCATTGTTTTTTGCCCGTTCCCTCTGAAATTATGTTGTTACTTCATTTTTCATGGCTTCTCCTGGGTTCAGCCTCGCTGTCACTGTGCACCAGCTCCTGAGGTTTATGATGTGAATGTTGCTCTGCTTGATCTTACAGCTGTGGGAAGTGGCCAGCCCACAGGACCACAGTGCTGATAGTCCAGCCATGGCATCTTGATGCAGCTCCAGCCCTCCTTGGGTTGCTAATTCTGTGTCTGGGGAGTTCATGCATGAAATACCTGAGATTTTGTAGCTCATTGGGCATTAAAATGCTCTATTGGCTGCAGAGGTGTTTACAGAAGGAGGAAAAAAAAAAAAAAAAGATACAACAGAGATGATCAGATGAGTTTGCATTTAGACATTGCCCTGAAAGTCACAGAGCAATTTACACCAGTACAAAGAGTCTGTG